ATTTGGTATATGTCTTTCCGACAGGCTTACATGAATACAGCAGAGTATAGCAGCTTTCAGTAGAATTTTTGACCTAATTTCCTGTATATGTGCCTAGCACAACCTACAATTCAACCTTCCTGTAAGTCTGTGGTTACACCATCCCCCCTCAGTTCTCGTGACTCAAATAACTACCATCACCCAAGCAAACAGACGAAGACACCAAAAACAATACATTTGTAGATGTGTAATTACACTGTAAAGAGGACCTACCTGTTGAACTGTCTATGGCCAGGAGGGTAGTGCCGGTCAAGCTGAACATCACTTGACCATTGGGACCTTTGTCCGGGTCGTTGGCAGTGATGGTGGCCAGCAGCTGACCAACCGGCAGCTGCTCCTGGATGTTCTGTTCTATCTCATCACTGCTGAACTCTGGAGCATTGTCATTCACGTCCTGGAGTATGATAGTCAGAGTGGCTGGCAAGAGGAGGAACAAAATAATGTTAGACTACAGTGTACATAGTTTTACTGAGTTTAGAAGTATCACTTGAAATACTTTTCTGCATACAGGACCCTGATACTGATAACATTGCACTTGCATAGAAGCACTGTTCAGTACCATGGACAGAACCCTGATTCTAAGAACATTTCATTTTCATGGAAACATCGTTCAGTTCCAAGGACAGGAACATGATACTGATAACACTGCATTTACTGGAAACAGTGTTCAGGACTGGGCCCAGATACTGATAAAATTGCATTTGCTGGAAACAGTGTTCAGTACCAAGGACTGGACCCTAATACTGATAAAATTGCATTAAGTGCATTCAGTATCAGGGCTCTGATATTGAATTTTACTGTTGGGCATGATCCTGTGCTCGTATGACAAAGTTGAAAAGTTCATCCTACCTGTTGCGGTTTGCTCCTTTGGCCATGGTGCTGCAGTGTCGTTCACCTCAAGCCTGAGGACGTAGTCTTCTGCAAACTCCCTGTCCAGTTCCCCATTCACCCACACCTCACCCGTGTTGGTGATGTTGAACAAGTCTGGGTCCACAGTCTTGACTTGTCCGTTCTCATCCTGTGCCGTGATGGAGGTTATCGTGTACTCAAGGTTGCTGTCCACATCAGAGTCCACAGCGGACATGTCGGCCAGTTTAGATGGGTAAGGGGTGTCGGGGTATTCTGGCAGGGAGTCAGTCTTCTCCGAAGGGGTGAAGACTGGATCCTTGTTGTTGATGTCTTCGATGGTGACGTAGAGGGTTGCGGTGCCGGTCTTCTGATCGGGATTCCCGCGGTCCGTAGCGGAGACCACGAGGGTGTAACCGTCCCCGTACAGATCCCGATCCAAGGGAACCCTTCCACCTGGCGACACCTGAAGGAGTAGAAAACAATCATCATTAACAGCTGTAAAGGCACAAGTACTGTTTGTTATACATCTTTGTATTATGCATTCAATTTTTGGTCCTATTTTGTAATAGCAAATGATCCTTGGAAAGATTCCTAAAGATATATCCATATTTCATAGCCTACAAATGTACCAAACCTCTCTAATTATCATAATATAATCTTCCTCAGATATCAACACAAATGGTGAAGACAAACTTTCCATAACATTAACATTCCATTACCAGTGAAGATGGTATTACCTTGATTTCTCCATCGTTGGTGATGTAGAACTTGTCTTTAGACCCTGATGCAATGCGGTAGTCTATCCTCCCATTGAAACCGCTGTCCTCATCTGTTGCATTTAACTTTACCACAGGAGTGTCTGTAGAGGAGAAATATTTAGTTTGATGTCATTCTCTGTACTTACTATCATCTGAATTCAGTGTCTCACAATGATACATATTGCTATAAGATTATACTCTACAGTGCTCAAAATACTGGGTGCATATGCGCCCTAGTGCACCCAAATTTTGAGCTGTGCACCCAGTTTTTGCTGTGTATGATGCTAAAATTATGAGTTTTAGTGTAGAAATCTTTCTATTCCCAACCTACCTCCCGGAGCATCCTCTGGTACAGTGGCATTCACCACATTCTGCTGGAACACTGGGTCATTGTCGTTTATGTCCTGATAAATAAGAAGGATAAGAAAGTAACAATATTGTAAGTCTCTGGTGATTGCGTAAATATACAATATATTTCAATTACAAAATGTCATACAATTCTGTCATAGAAATCCAATTTTACATTTGCTCAGTGATTGCTATCTAGTGGAAATTAAGAATCAATGATGTTGCTCAAAGTCTTTCTGCTAAATCTGACCACAGTGGGTAGTTCATACATACCTCAACAACTACAATAACAGTTGTTGTGGAGTTTAGAGGGGGCTGTCCTTCATCCATTGCTTGAACAACCAGGTGGAACTCATCTGGACCATTGAGTGCCTCGTAGTCCAGTGGCTGTGTCAGGCTGATGATGCCACTGTCTTCATCAATGGTGAAGTTGTTCATATCATTTCCATCAATGATGGAGTACGTGATGTTTTGGTTGATGCCCTCATCCCTGTCAACAGCCTGTTGGTCATAGAAGATAATGTTTAGAACAACTTCCTAAACATTGACCTTCAAGGCTTTATTTTTGTTTTGTCATAAGGAAAAACTAATGATGCCTGAAAACATGCAACAACAGATTGGACATTCCAGTCTTAAAAAAAGAATTTTGGGTTTTTGTAACGAAGCCCATTTCCTGTGTCTGACCTTTTATACCCATGTCATTCTGCCTGTCAATCTTCCCCCAGGTGGACATTACATGGGTCTTCAGAAATACCCATGTAATGTCCACCTACTCCCAACTTCACCCTATTTCCTGTGTCAGGCCTTTTGACCTTTTATGTTGTTGCTGCCTTATGTTGTTGTCTATTACCCCGCTCTCTCTTGTCAGATGATGGTCACATGTGCTTGTTTTAACATAAAACTGAAAACTGAATGTACAAAAAGAATGTACTTACCTGAACTTGTAAAGGTTCATCAAAACTGGTGGCATCCTCCTGGATGTAGACTTTGAAGGTGGATGATCTCTGGAAAGCTGGTGCGTTGTCGTTAACATCCGTCAGGGTAATCTGGAGTTGCACGTTGGATGCGCGCCCGCCGCCATCCTCTGCCAGCAGGGTGAGGAAGTACAGCGGGATGGTCTCTCTGTCCAGCTGGTTGCCCTGGGCAACCGTTATCTGACCTGTTAGGTTGTTGACGGCAAATCTGGGGAAACAAGAAATCAGACATTTCAGGTTTCCAGGAAGTATGGTGGCTTCGATCATTCAATAAAAGCCAGATATGATGTCTTTTGTGGTGTAGAAAGGCTCCGAACTGTTCATGTACAAATTATTCAATTAAAGGTTTTGTTGGAATAGTGGTGGAAAAGTGAAGAACATTTTAATAATCTTCATAATGTAAAATGGACAAAACAACTTACTTGTCACTCCCGCTCCCTTGCAAACTGTAGGTAATTTCAGCAAATTCACCAGAGTCCAAATCTGTTGCCTGTATTGATAATAAGAATTTATCAAGATGGTCAAATCTACTGCAAACTCTAAATTTATAAACCAAAAGTGACTAGGGCATGAAACCTTTTGAATCAGTGGGTAATACTGATAAACAAAACAGTTCCTTACCGTGATAGTTCCTACAACAGTCCCATCTGGAGAGTTCTCGGCTACAGTCAGGTCATACTTAGACTGGCTGAACACTGGAGAGTTGTCGTTGGTATCCTCTAATGTCACCAGAACTGTGACATTACTGCTGAAATGCTCAGCTGCCATGTCTTCTCTTGCAATGACCTGAAATTACACCACGTAGGTACTATCTTTTAAAAAATCTGTTGAACTTAAGGTGGAGGGGATTGAATTATGTTATTTAATCAGGTCTTTAATTCAACCTGTACGTCACCTTCAGGCTTGACCTTCCTATCAATCATCTGTCAAAATCACCTCCCACCCAACATTTAACTGGAGCAATTAAGACATAGACACAAACCCAGTCTCAGCCACCCAAAATAATATTTTGGTCTGCACCTCGAAATAATGGAATAATAGGACTTACTTTGAACTGCACAGATTGTAGTGTCTCATAGTCCAGAAGTCCGGAGTTCTTGACTCGGATGTTCACTGCAGCCTGTCCATAAACAGTACTCGGCACCACCTGGAAATACTTGCTGCCTTCTTCATCTAGGGTCAGTGTAAACCTTCCATTGTCACCCTGGATGGAAGCAACAAAATGTTATTTGGATTCACATCATGATCTGCATTGTTCACCTTAGAGCAAACAAATAGAGAAGAAACAAAATGCCAGCCATGGGTAAATGTTTTGGGCTGCCCTTTTGGCCATACAAGATATTCTGACATGAGAAAAAGGGTTAGGTCATTTATTTTGCATCAAACAAGCAAGCTAAATATCTCAATGGGGGTCACGAACAGTGGTCCTCTCCTTGGTGCTGAAAAGTAAGTCTGTAGTATTCTACAACAAATAGCTGTAGCTATAGCTGGAACAGTGAGTCTCAAAAGGGTTGGGATAACAATCTAGTCTTTGTGTTTCAATCAATCAATCAATCAATATCCTTTATTTATACTGGAAATGCCCAAATGTTTAATGAGCTTGTGCTGTCTTGGTTATTACAGCAATCAGTAAGATTATCACCCATACCTGATAACCCATACAATACACCAATATCTCAGTACTCATACCAATGGCCATCATCAGATAGACCACTCATTCTTACCTCATCATTATCCTCCACCCTCATGTCCAGACCTCCCAGGGGAATACCAGCTGACGTGCCCTCAGGAATGGTGGCTGTGAAGTAGTCCTGGGGAGAGTCTCCGCTGCCATTGTAGAACGTGGGGATCTGGTCATTCACGTCTACCACGGTGATACGTACGCTGGTGTTGGTGGATCTGGCATCACTGCTGTTTTCTCTGGCCTGGAGAGGAGGAGTTTGGGATTGTTTATTTGTTTGTGCCTTTGTGCCTTTGTATCTGCTGGCTGCTTTTTTATTGAGGTCATGAGGGAAGAGGTCAGGATCAAACAAAATATAACAGAATACAGGTTTGGTGATTAAAGGCCTAAGAAATACATTATTATGAAGTGGTAAAAAATCCATAGACATATGAATAAAATATAGATATAGACAAAAATATACATGTATGTTGTGTCACTGAATAAACATAACGTTTTTAGGCAGATCGAGGCTGCACCAATTTCTTGGTTCTCAGATTTTAAGAAAAATCAATGAAGTGGGCGGATGAAAAAATTAGCCTATAGGCATCTTAGACACAAATTAACGCTAACCATTGAAACTAGGGACTTCACTTAAGATTTTATAAGAAGAAGTCTATACCCATGTTGAATGTTACGTTCCCTACCTGCACATCAAAACTATAGACTCCTCCTTCGTCCCTCTTGCTCTCTCTGTCCAGCGTCTTGGCAAGACTGATCACTCCAGTGGTGGAATCAATGGAGAAGGTGCCATCATCTGAAGTAGAAGATAACAGATAGATTTGTCAGAAAACAGAAACATGAGCACAAGGGCACCTTACCAATGTGTAACTGCAAATAGCTTTCCAATGCATTGTCATGAATTTTCAATGCTGCATCCTTATAAATCAACTTACACCATGTTATCAAAGCTATCATATTACATTTCATATTTATCATGTATCACAAGCAGAGACACAAACCCTCAACCCCGTCACCCAAATCAATACTTCCACACCCCAATAACTACACATATAAGCAGGATCACACATAACATGTAAATAAACAGGAACATTGCCAAGAAAGATCATCAATGTACTTACCCCCTTCGGTGGAACAAACAATTGGATTATTGATGCCATAGTCTCCATCTCTGGCATTGATAGTTATGATAGATGTACCCTAGAGGAAAACAGGAAATAACATTTAAACTTACAGTTGATCTTAGTCCTTGAGGAAGGTCACGAAGACTCCCAATGGTATAAGTTAAAGTAATAAATAATTTAACACTAGTTAACCTGCTATAAGGTACCAAAATATGGCTGAGCAGGATCATGAATAATAAACATATCTTAGGTTTTCAGTAAATTTTCCTGTGAGACTACTGTTTAAAGTGTTTTCAAAAAACGATTTGAACATATTTCAATCTCTGATGTCTGAATTACTAGTCAGTAGGTAGGCAGGCAGTATTACTAGTTCAGCTCCTACATGTAAGTAAATAAGTTAACATGTAAGTAAATGAGTAAACAACATCTCACCAGTGGGGTGTCCTCATTGACTTGTGTTGAGAAAGGCTGTCCCAAGAACAGAGGAGGCTGATCATCCTCATCAACAACATTCACTATCAGGACAGTGGTGCTGGTCTTGAAAACTTGGTTTCCATTTAAGCTGCCTCCTCCATCCTAAACAAGAAGATAGAGACATGATTATTTACATGTATGATACAGGGTATCATTATTACCTTTACCTTCTTATCTCAGTGTTCGAAATACCTGTCTGCAGTCTGCAATCTGCATATAGATTTTCAAGATTGCAGAAGAAAAATTTATACAATCTGCAATTTTGCAGCAGGAAAAATTGGCACTTGGGATTTGGCGCTCTTGGCCCCAAGGAAAGACAACACTTAAGCTCCTGTTCTGAAACAACAGGAGCTTCTTCACTAATTTGCATCAACCTTGTCTTGACTTGTCTATCTTTTGTTTCTTTTTGGACTTCCAAAAATTTGTCTTCACTAATTTGGATATCAATCAATAGTTCATGCTTATAAGCCTGCAAGATTGTAGTATGAAGGCTTGTGTATTTGCAGAAAGTATTTCCAAATTGCAGAACAAAATTTTGACTCTTCTGCAATATTGCAGAGCACTGAAAAAAAGTATTTCGACCACTGCATCTAGTCCCATCCTCATGTCTGAGGGCCGGGGACTATTAGAACATTGACTATTAGACAGGGCTTATTAGAACATTGATATTTGTACCAATCTGTAAATCAAATGCTAAAGATGACATCAGATTCTACCAACAGCTTTTTAATGAAGCATTTCATTTTGCATTCTACATGTACATTAACATGTGATTGGAACTGGTATGCTATTTAATTACAGGGCTGAAAGTTCAATAGCCTGACTGTATCAAATTAAATGTTCCTTGTCATGTCTATTATACATTATAGTAAGTAACTTACTATCAGAAAAATATTGTATGGTGAAAACCTCTTACCTGAGCTCTGATTCGGAGTTGATAAACAGATGATGACTCATAGTCTAGCTCTTCCTTTAAGTTCACAACTCCTGTCGGCCTGTCAACCCCAAACTTTGTTTCATCTCCAGCCTGGTGTGAAAGAAACATTAAAACAAAATTACAGACATGACAGTTTCAACGTTTAATTAAGTCCAAATTCAATAGCAAACTCAAATGTATTATTTTATGTGTAGCCACTTACCTCTAGATAGTAGGACACAGTTCCACCTATCCCTTGGTCTGCATCAGTTGCCCTCACTCTGAATATGCTGGTTTGGGTCATGTCAAAGTAGTTCTGAAAAACACAAGGACAAGAACCAAGTTACATTTCAATATGAAATCAGTAGATATCAAATTTAACACACTTCTGAAACAAAATTTCCCTGTGATGACAAATTTACCAGACATTTTCCTTTTTTTGTGTAGAATGATTATGATCATACTTATTTCGATCATAATAACATCAGAGAGCTTGAGAAAAAGACTGCAGTTTAACTCACCTCATTGACATCCACTTCATAAGGAATACCCTGGAACACTGGACTGTTGTCGTTGGCATCAGTTATGAAGATGGTTGGGTTTTGTTGTACCTAGGAAAGTAAACCATTAGATACACGTATCCATGCATTTAGATCCAACACTTTCTAAACAATTATGCTTGGTTTTAGCATGTTTTTTGGCGATGCCTCAGGGGCAGAGCAATTGGTAATAGTACTGCGATTGAGTTGAAATATTCCACGAATGCATTCCCTAGGAAATTAAATTTTGTCAGCAAGATAACTCAAGAACAGCTGGATGGATTGGTTTCATACTTGGTTGGTCCGTACGGTGTGACTAAATCTAGGAATGATGAGATTTTTGGCCACCTAGTAGCTTCCCTTGGTACTGCAGCTGAACTTCTGGTCTTGATATCTAGCGATCTGGACATGCTAGGGTCATGAATTTTGGATCGTAGGTAGCTCTTGTGCTTGGAAACAAGCCACGCGAGTTAAGGTCCCCTAGCAGCTTGTTCTGGAACTGCAGGACAGTTTGTTTAAAGTAACTTTTAAAGTAACAAGATAGAGCTCCACAGAATTGTGCGGCATAGTCTACATATCTGAGAAATAGTCATGATTAGTAAATGCTCAATACTTACCACTGGATTTATCCCATCTGAGACTGTTACAGTAATCTGGTATTCATCTGTTAGCTGTAACATAGTTAGATTCATTGTCAGGAATTAAATGTCACAGTACTCATATTGCTCAAACTGTTTAATAGCCATCAAAAAACCTAACCCACAGAAAAATCTTAATTCACCGCAGAAGTACCTCTTAGTAATAGCAATGCTGTCTCAAAAGGTCACTTTTAACAAAAATGGGTTAGTATGGTTTGAATGCAGCATTAGCATGAAGGAACATCTAAGCTATATTCCACCTGAAAATATTACATGCTAATCTTACCTCTCTGTCCAATGCTGTTTTCAAAGTAACGACTCCAGAGCTTGAATCAACGATAAACAGGTTGTTTGAGACTTGTCCTGATACTCCATACGACAGGGTATCACTATCCGCATCAGTTGCACTCAAGGTGTACACTGTAGCTCCTGTCATGGAAGGTTCGAGGATTATATTATTATACATTTCAGTTTGTAATTCATTATACAATGTGTATCATTAAATCCTACTTTCATTGTAGAATGACAAAGCGGAAAGCCAGCAAACTCTACTACCATAAGATACAATTATGTATATCAAAACCCTGTATTTAAAACTTTTGAAGGATCGTCAAAATGGAGGCATCTGCAAGTAACATTGTACATGGTACACAGCCTAATGTGATTGCACCTACCAACTGCTGTGTCCTCAGGAATTTGTTCGTAGTCCATTCCGTCAATGAAGATTGGAGGCTGGTTGGCCTGCACACCTGAAAAACGATGCCCATTGTGAATCCAAAGGTCAAACTGCATAACCAAAAAGATATGCTTAAAAAAGTAGCACTAAAACAGCAGCATCCACAAAAGGACTGTCAAGGAAATGTATCATTACAAACTTACCTGTTCCAAGAAGAATGCCGACCACACCCAGTACAACTGTCTGTCTCCACAACATGGTGTTTTGTGTTTGCTTCACTTCTGAAAAGCAAAAGCTAAGAAGTCAACCAAAGTACTGGCAATGCACATTATATATTTTCAACAAAAAATTTAATAGACACATAATTTTATATTCATAATTTCATAATTATAGTCTCAAAGACAACTGATCTATCTACATTATCCATATAAATTATGGTATCATTGAGAGAAAGACACATACATGTAACATCTTCCCATGCCTAGCAGTCTTGCACTTACATGTAACAATACTGAATGTATGTTAAATATTGAAAACAACAATTTTCTCCATGACTGAATCAGCAAGCTTCTTATTCAGTATGACACCATATGGTACATTTAGATATAACTAAAATACACATGAGTGCTCAGCAAATAACTGGTCTTAATAATGCCATAGAAACTTAAAGCTTTACAGAACTAAACAAATATACCGGTATGTTTGGCCAGTGAATACAAAAGCTCAAAACAGGTGATATCTAAAAATCAATACTTTCATGGCATTGTTATTGTAACCCTCACTTGTGTTGTTTTTATCAGAAGATACAATATGCACATTCTGTTTTGTACCAAAACATCTTCAGTTTATTTTTTGTTTGAAATGCATTGTAGTTATCTGTGTTTAGAAAATAATCATTGAAAATAATTGATGACAAAAGTACCTGATACCAAAATATCAGACACATCTCCAACAATAACTGAACACTGTATTGTTGATAATGATGAAGTTTATTTTATATGATGAAAATCATTTTTGCAGTAGGAGGGGGAAGGAGGTTCTTGCAACTGAAAGGTCCCCGCATTAGGGATTTCAGAACACATGGAAAATGTTGATGTCAGTCTAATTTAGAATAAAGATCATAGCCAGTCCTATGATAAAAATATCATACACATGTACACATATTCTGGCAAAGGCACTTACTTTATGATGTTCGTCCATCATTAAAGACACTTAGTTTATGCAGTATTTTGATCAGACAGTTGCTGATAATTGAAGTATGTTGCAAACTGGAGTAAGCTACATGTAACCATCAACACTTGTCAGAAACATGAGTAATTGTTTGACAGACATCTCTCAGCAACAGGGGCTCTTGGGAACAAGGTTGTTAAAAAGTGGGCCTGGGTTTGTATTATGCAATGATGCTTGAGTGGTAAGTGTAAGAGCAAATTTACTAACATTGCCATGGCAAAGCCAGGACCTCTTCCAAGTGTTTATGGAAAACAATCATTATGGGTATGCACTGTGCACCTTAATAATGAACTGTACACAGTCATATACAAATTTAAAAGAAAAAAGTGTTCTTGTGTTCCAACATAACATAACAATATAAAAGTTAAACCTTTAAGTTGGAAAAATAATTCTCTTGGGAAAAAGTGAGAAAAACTTAATTTGCTACAAAGAAAATGAACACTTTGGTTTAATACACTGTAACAGTAATCAGAATAAGTGCAGAATTAACCAATCGAACATTGAAGGAATATTCAAAGCAGGTGGGAAACTACACAAATGGTAGGAAAAAGCTCTGTGTTCAGATGTTTAACTTAAAGTCAACATATAGTGCCTTTATCAGATAATCATCTTGAACCTGTCACCATACCGGCAGTCACATGGCAGAATCAATGGCTGACACAGGAACTTTGACAGGATAAGCAGACAAATTCAATGCAGTGACCCAAAAAGCACACTTAAGTAACACATTAAAAATCAATCAACAAAACACAAGGCTAAACTTCTATGCAGTACACAAATAACACATCAAAAATCAATCAACAAAATATCATGTTACAGATAAAAAAGACAAGGTTCACCTTTTGTAATTTAATCATCGAATTCTATGTTGGGTTTGAAGAATAGATTCTGAAGCGAAATGTTTTCATTCTTATGAAGAAGAACATGTTGTTTGTAATACTGTAATACAATTTTTTGCCGTTAGTATCAAATGTACATTTATCCTGTCACAATTTGATTTTCTGATATCATTTCTGAGTCTTCTCTGGTTTTGCCTTTTTCGATTCTGTTATTCTTTTGTCCACAATCAACTTTGTCATGCATTCCAAACCTGTTACAAAGCACCTGCCCCTGAGAAAACATGCTACACCCAAGCATAACAATGTCTACCATTTTTAGGTACTTCAAACACCATTGGTATTTGTGTGACATATCTGCAACACAGCACTTAGTTATATCAGTGGGGTTGGCCAAGCTTTCAGTCAAAAGGTCACAAGTGTTTTGCCTGCTATCTTGAGCAGGTGTCGATGTACAAAGAAGGAAATGTGGCTTAGATATTTTAAAGTTTGTGAGTTGCCAAGAAACAAACCCACCCAAAATTTACCTCGTTTCATGCTTATGTTTTGAAAACACTGGACAGATTAGTTCTCTATGCATATACTAGTACAACCAAGGTGTCTCACGTCTCTGATATGCCATTGTTTCAGTCAGATAACGTATACACTGTACACTAGGGAAGGCCACAATTACTAGTACCCACATAGGGACATTACTAGCTGGATGTCCGATCGGTTGGACAAGTAATTGATTTAAAACTATGTTTAAAGTCAGAGCTTGAGTTCAAATCTGAAAAAAAATTGTTAAATGGAACCAGCTTGAAATGAACAGGAATTTCTGCTGATAATTGACCAAGGACATTGGAAATGACCCACAAAGGTCACCTGTTAGAAATGTTATTTTATTCTTTTCAAATATCTAGCTCATTGATTATGAATGCACCAGAAGCTTTTAAATTCTAATAACAGCCAAATTTGTCCCTCTTGGGATTTTTTTTGCTGTGATAACAGTGGTCTGTTGTTTCGCAATAGGCATCATAGATTTTGAAGTAAATACTTTCCAACAATTTCCCTTTTGTATGTTTTTAAAGGCCATAAGTGTACAAAAGAGAAATCCTTGTTATCCTTGAAATATTGTAGGCCCCAAAACTTTAAAATAGATTAGCCCACAAACCAAAAGCTTCCTCCTGCTGTTCAACCAAGTACGGAAATTGTCAGGACAGACAGGCATATGCTAATTGATTTTCTACTCCTGATTGAATTAACTGGAATGAATGAAGGTTCCCAACCCATTACACCACAAGCTTTCACAGTGCTCTACAGGCAAGGTCGTATTACATGTACAGGAGACAAACCTATTTTGGTAGACATAAGCAGATTAGTAATGCTTTTAGCTGCTGCCTTTTTATTAAACCTGGCCTGTGTATTGCTAATGGGCATGAATATGATTTAATTTCCTATCTGTGGTAATTGCATATTATGGATGGAAAACATTGATAAGAGTTCAACCAAATCTTTCAAGGACATTTTCTGTACATGAATACCGGTATATATTTTTGAAACTTTAAAAAATGTTTAGTCTAGTAAAGTATATAGTCTTCTCTTCATATGTGACCTCTGTACTGGCCCATTTTCTTCACGACTTCAAACTAAGGTTGAAATAAACAAAAGTATACAATATGAAAATTACATATCTTGAGAACAGGCATTTCATAGTTTTCATACCAATCATATAATAAACACATAATGCTTGCAAGTGTAAACCTACCTGAACAAGGAAAAAAGATCTTCAATCACAGAACATGCAACAACTGGGTCTTTCTTGGGTCCCTACCTTTTGAATAATACCCCCTACTTTTAAAGAATAGCTTTACCAAATTGAGGTTGTTTCCGTTAGACGGTTCAGTTTGAATTGCTTCTTTTCTCTCTTAACACGAGTTACTGCATACATTTCCTTGTCAACAAATTCAACAAGCTGCCAACAGGTTGCAGTTCAAAAACAACGTTATCAAAGAAGGCCTTTGATGTTTGCAAAAGGTGTGGTTAATGTACAACTACATGTTGGTACGTCATAGCTGGCCCAGAAAGCAACCGTGTTATTTTCCACTCTTCATCCGGTTTAAAAAGCCAAGCATGGCGCTTCGGTTATTTTTGCAGAATGATCCTTGCTAAAAGAATGCATGATTTTAGTTTATTTTTTCTGAACCCTCTTTTCTTGAATTTGTTGAAATCGTTTTATGTGTAACTATCAATACTGGTATTAAGCATTACAGTACATTAACAGCTGACAGAATACTTAAAATACTGTAAACAAATATAGCAATACAGTTTCTTTTTGAATTCAAAATAGCACCTCAATTTTGTACCTTTTTGTTCTTGTCACACAGTTTGTTGACTTCTTAAGGCAATTTAGAGTAAGGATGTGGGTTCTTGTCTTTTGTGTAGTACATTTCCTTATTGATTTACAATGCTCTGTTGTCTTGCAGGCTTAGTAATATAGCAAACTTCCTGTTCCAGATTTCTTAAGTAGTTATTCACATATCATAAAACACATAAATGTATTTAATATATTAACACTAAATATAGTCTGTACAATACATTCAACATTTAACGGGTATGGGAATTCATTAAATGATCATTGATTATTAAAACCTACACAATGATTGTAAATACAGAAATCATAAAACAAAACACACATTAAAAATCTTCTTTTTTAAATGTTACTATGTAAACTGTCTATTGAGACTTTGAATGAGCTTAAAAGCAAGAGGCCTACCACTCTTTATTAAAGATGCCCTTAAGATGGTTTGCACACCTGTCGAGGTTCCGCAGGTATTTCAAGGGCCCTTAAAGGACATCAAAAACAAGTAGGCCAGTCCACAAGATTTCTTTTGGTCACGTTTTGACCATAAACTATATAGCACTGTCATCTAAAGTCCAAAGCTCAATAACTTAAATGGGGGGGAGGGCACTGTGTGTAGCCACCTTGAAACTTACCCATCATAGGTATGAAGGTAAAAAGTTTAGAAGGAAATTAAGGAGGAATATAGTAAACTTTCTTTAACCTTCGTAACGTTAACAGCACTTTTAGTACATGTTTACAATACACAGTAGGTTGTGTTTTCCCAGTAGTTATGACCATGCAGAGATTGTGAAAGCCACCCTGTAACAGTTGTCACTGACCCAGAACATTCCCAATCAATACATAATCTTGTTTTAACTGCAACAATTGGACTGTTTTTTGGTCAGAGCTTTTAAATATTTCCTACCCACCCCCTTTTTTTCCGATACCTCACAAAAATATGTCGCTATTGTTTGTGATATTCTATATATACCTGTATAGGGTGTGGTCAGGACGAACAGGTGTGTTAGACCTTAACTGCGATAGCTTGGAGCCGCCCAGACTATGTCACTTCCTCCAAACGTATTATGATTTACCCACTGTATAGTGGGAAAGGAAAAACTGGCAGGAAAAAGTTGCTGGGCCCCTCCCTGGAATGTTCTAGTGGTGGGCCAGCTGTGAACCGTGGGTCCGCCATGTTGTGCCCCGGCTGAGTAAGCCATCAGCCGCTTTTGTTCGGCAGGATTGATCTAAATCTGCCTCAGCGGGATAAATGGTCCCTTTCATCACACGAGGGCATCCGCACGTTTTCGATGTATCCCCTCTAAATCCTACTAATGGATTGTTGCCAAGTAGGGCGTGAGGAAAGGGACTAGTAAACCAGTATTTATGCCGGTTTTTAGCACGTAACGACATCTAGCACACGGAAACGTTGGTATAGGTTACTCACCTGTACCTACAGCAGTGCACGGGACAGTCAAATAGCCCCGGGGTGACAGACTGACGATGTACCGTTATATGTTTCCCGTTTTCTGCTCGATATTATGGAACCTCTTCAACGTCTTCTGGTTTCCAGTTCTTCCAAAGCACTCTCCAAGTCCAGAAGTGGCTCCGCCAACTCTAATTAGGGAGTCAAAAGCAATCCAGTTTCCGACGGTTCGTTGGAAACAAACCCCCTCACACCTTGAGTTGTGGGCACAGGTCGGTCCGTGGTGCCAATGTTGTTTCTGGCAGACGACAGCGGTGTTCCTCTTCCGCTTCAAGGCCAGTCTTGGGTGAATTCTGTCAGAAATACTTCCAACAACACCTTACTTGCCCCCTGGATGGTTTAGTGAGAGAACCTTACACGAAATTCCCAGCAGTGTCCCGTTTCACCCATCGATAGAACTGCAAACAAGCCCGCCGTGCTCAAACAATGAAGTAATGGTGCAGTTATCGGACCGGTCCACTGGTACTTATGGGGGAGCACTACACCTGCGCGTCACGGTTCTGTCAAAAACAACGCCATTGCAAAGCGTTAAAGAGTGGTATCTCCCGTTTTGCTATATTCATACTTCTTGGATGTTTTGTAAAGCAGACAAAAAGTAATAATATTGCAGTCTCTGTATCTTACTTCCGCAAAGGTGTTTTCGGGACAAGAGTAGTTACGTAAGTATCAAAGGGCGGCCAGGTTGACGCCCTTTGCCCAGACTTGTTGATAACAAATCTATTTAGATTGAAATTTATCAGCATTTCCACCTCTCTTGATTAGCTTTAGATTATGCCAGTGACGTGAAATGGTAAAATTGGTGATACATTCATGTAACCGTGTACTCACTCGGAAGTCCAAGTTCAAAACAAAACATCTGTAGATCAAACTAATAAATGAATTATTGATTCTGAGTGATTGATTAGTAGTATTTGACATTAACATGCATTTAATGTACTATTTTGTGTTTCCCATCACTTGGGTACATTTTCTACTAGAGATTTTTCTTAACACACACACACATGCACACATACACTCACACACATACACATGCGCGCGCGCGCACACACACACATTCTGCAAGCTGGCATGGTTGCTGGGTTAGCCAATGATACCTCACCAAACACCTGTCGGGGTGGGGTTTTGCTTGAATAGCTTTGCCGCTAAGGTAGCTTGACAAGTGCACGGTGCACCGGTGACAACCTGGCCGTTATATTCCCTATGACTAACCTTGCTATATGAAGTGTTCTCCATTCTAATTGTTATTCTTCCCTCTGTCTCGAAAGCGACGCCGTCGATTAGTCATAAGTACTCCATGGTAGTGCCTGGCACCAATTGTGGTTGTAAAAATAACGGCGGGGCAATACGTAGGCTACCGTGACGTAGCAAGAAGCTATTCACTATAAATTATCAGCAACTCCTGACCTTTCACACTACAAAGGCAAGCAAAGCAAACGGACCGGCAAAACAAGGAACTGATTCAGGAAGTCCAAACGCTGTGGTATTTATAGATGAAAGACTTTTATTGTGCATTCATGCCTCGAATTCGAAGGGCTAGGTACAGGCTGTCTATGGTATACCTAAGGAGCAAATAGTGCACGAGTTAAACATACATAGTAGACAAAAGTGTTGCACTAAGCTAACCTAGTAGAATCAACATAATGGACAAACAAGTGTTCATGAAAAAATGATTGGTTTCAGTTATTGCGTGCCTGAATAGATTAATGTACTTCTGTAATTTCTGTTTCAAAGCGTTCTATATCGACATAGGGGCATTGCCCGAGGCAATAACACGTACAGCTGTACGCATCTGGTCTTTGAAAAACACCTGTGAGAAAGGAGCCTTTTAAACAGCGATAATCCTCCCAAATTTCATCGTTGGTCAATAAAGTAAAAGATATAGATCTCGGTTATCTTTTCACACGTAATTGATTTTTCTCTTTCAATATTGTCTTTCTAGAAAGCTTTTCGTTCATGGGGGATCAGGTACCGTTCACTACGTGTCCAAATAGTCAATGCTACTTCTTAAGAAGGTTCAGGTTGAAAGTGACTTAAAGGAGCGACGTGTTTTATTGTTCAAAGGTGTTAAAACAATATATTCAACAGGTGACTGATCACGGACAAGTTTTCTCACACCTAATCGCCAGCAGTGCGCCTCCCATTTTATCCCCACTTTGTTGCTATTATCCGAATATTGCAACCCTATACGGATCGTATCAAGCGCGCGCCCGCACCCTTACCTCCCGCGACTGCAAAGGGCGGGGAATCGAGTTACCAATCCCGGGCTTTGTTTCACGGATGTCCGGGTTTAGGGCTGTTGTGTTGCTCGATGGTTTGACCAGCCATCGTCACCCATACTGACTCTGTAGTATAGTAGCACACAATAACGGATCGGACACATTCGCCCTAAGCCATGGTACGCTTGTGATGTGGTAGAGTTTCAAGCAGGCTGTGACTGAAACAACCGCTCACAAGAAGATCTACGGCGGCCATAAGCCTTTCTTCCGTATGACAAAAACAGTTGGATTTTGTACGACCTACGCACGACTATCCCAAGAATGTTTCCGATCGTGCGACAACTGTACGACAAACGTAACCGCGCCCTAAGCAGTGTCATGATAATCTAGTGCCGTTTCGGACGATTTGAGGACACTCAACAGAAAAACAGATTGTGAATATGAACTAAACAACGCAAGAATGTCTGGAATGTTAACGTCGTTTTTATCGCCCCCGTTTAGACCCGATACCCTACCTACCGGTGAAGCACAATAAAGGTGCGCTAGGCGCCGCTGTAAACAGACATCACTATACACACCGTGGCATGCGTCCGTCCGTGTTAATATGGTGGAAGGCAAAATTTCCTCTACAACAAAGCCTAAGGATTTAGTTAAAATTGAGGATGCGTGTCATTTTGTAGTTGATTGTACATTATATAGAAATGAGAGAGATTCCCTCTATACCTATATAAAATTTAAGTTCCCCAGCTTTAGATAAAACAGAAAAATTAGCATTCCTTCTGAAAGTTGACAAACCATGTATCATTAGCTCAATATGTTCGTACATCTACAACTGTCTCAAGAAGCGAAAAGGAGTTGAACCTGTAATAGTGTATCACATTAGTAAATAAAATATATGTTTAGTTTAAGCAAGATATTAGCATGTAGTCTCCAAGATTGAGACATTATTTGATGTATTTCCCTAAAATTGTTCCAAATGTTTGCCTGTCGGAGATCTAGAATGCATGAGGGATACATTTATGCGACTGAGGGATTTTGTATGTGTAGAACGTTTGGCGAACATTAGGTTCGTGCGGCCAACCGGCACAAATGTCTCCCGCTTCCCGTCCTGAGCGTGAGAACTCCTCTCCATGGAGAATACTTCAGCTGGAAGTCCTGTTGGCAAAATATACAATATGCATGATGAAGTCGTCATCGCCTGGGGACAGCAGGCTAGGGTACTATCCGTGATGACCTTGACCGTGTGCGTCTTCTCTAAGAGGATTATGCTGAAGTTTCTCACCTGTGTTACAACTTACAAAGGAAGTCTCAATGAGTCGTTAGTGGTGTTACGATGACATGCATGGATTTTAATCAAGCTTAAGAAGTTTTAAGTCGAAATCGCGTCACATCTTTTTGCTCTCTGTCTAATAAACGTTTGTTGCAAATTCTGGGAGCTAGAATATATAACCTTTTTTCCCTTCAATGTGATTATTATGCAATGTGATGAGGTTGATTCAACTTGATATGTTAATTAAGAAATGACTAGTATTTTCGCCCGGGTCAGGTCACGTAGTAAGATTGTCGTCTAATATCGTCCTAACCATAAGTGTTGGACATCCATAGCTTACGGATAATATTTGGTTCCATTCTTGGTAGCTACTGTAAACTTCACCCTGTGCATGCACATCTTACTTTGTGATTGCCAAACATACCGTACCAAACATACATAGACAGTATATAAATCATAAAGGTGTCCCCATGGACCACTGATATAGAACAGAAAAGGTCGTGCCACGATCTGGGTCACGAAATAAAATGCCTTTGGGTTTTCGTGGATTAAAAAAAGTCAGCCAGGAGAAACGTAAACAAGGTTTTGAAAAGATGACAGGGAATTCCAGCTTGTTTACCCTTCGTGATCTCCTATTTGATTTGGGCTTTTTTTTTCTTTAAAAAAATTTTTCAGAAAGTATCCAATGCGCCAGACTAGGTACAATGTATTACCTGTGGAAGCCATGCATGCTGGTCACTACGTACCTAGAGGTAACATATATCAGGTACAGGTAAAGGTACTGATAACTTTAAGGTGCAGACCTGTACCTGTGCAATTTAACAAAATCTGTGGTCTTCACTGAGTGATGACAGAAAGAGGACTAAACAGTTCACAGAATGATGATCAGTTTCGGGTATGCAGAAGGAATCAGTCTTTTGGAGAGCTAGGATCTCGAACCAAAAGATGGTACAGATTTCATCACACATACAATGTTTTCATGTTTTTCCACTGGTAAATATTCATCGTTGTGCACTCAACTGCACTCTGATCTTCTAAACAAACAGTCCTGTCACCCGCCAAGCTTCCGACTTGCCCCCGTAATACGCTGTTGTCCCATACTGGATACGGTATCTTATCTCCGGCTGGGTTCTGTCACCGGCGAAATCAGTCGTTCGTTTCTCACTCGATTCTGGGCCACCGTGATAGCGCTGTGCCATGTTCCCGGTGAAACAAAAAAGAATAGAAGTAACACATCTCTTTCAATCAAAACATTACTGATTGTTGCATTAGTAATTCATGGATGAAGAAGAGTTGGGAACAGTTGAATCGATGTTGTTGTAGCGACGTCTGCGTAAAGGAAAACTACAAACAGACCCACTATCAAGACTCAAACCATTTACTGTACACATCAACACCAAAAATTCCTAAGAGTATTCAAACTTTGCAGACGCGTAGGGAAATGTGTTGTCTTGTCAAGTTAGCGCTACAAAAGATCCAGACGCAAGCACAGGGGATTTCACAGATTACCTATCATGAGACAAGTGACTGTGAACAGATAACCTAGAATCCAGACTGTTACGGGGGCCCACATAAGCCGACTCTTCGGTATCAGGGCCAACACATCCCCGATGAAATTTTGCCACAGTCCCCATGAGGAAGGCCGATAATTGGATTCAGTCACGCAAAAATCACCGAGGCAGGCTCGGTTGGTCCTATGGGATAGAAGCTCACAGTACCGAGGAAACTCAGCCTACAGCCCTGGGAGAGACTGATGGCCAGTTTACACAGGCTCCTCGCTGTGTGAGTGACAGCCCAAATACCATCTTACTGTGCAGCATCTTTATCTAGTTCGACAAATCTAGATCATCCCCTTTCAACGCCAGTCATGTGTATATACACCAGATTGTGTTATCCATGGGTCAAGGCAATGTACTACATACGGAGTGTCTTGATGAAGTGTCATTGCTCAAAAGTACTTGTTGTAATAAAAAAAAAGTCTGACCATTCAGTACATGAATCAGTACTTTTGGCGAGTCCAAATCTTCCTCGGTTTATTATCATTCTATTCAGCAGGGTGAAAGTGAAGATTTCACAGGTGACTCTTTCCAGAAACCTGGCTGTCGACATGGTAAAATATTAATCTCAAAGCAGACCCGTTCTGCTTGGAGACTAGTAAAATGTGGACAAGCGAGGGGGGCATGATTGACCGTAATCTGATTATCAAACAGTCTGGTGACAGGTCCCGCCTCGTTGCCACCGAAATCCGCCTGCGGTTAGCCATGAGATAAGAAAAATAAATCAACATCCCCAGATGTGAATTCTTCGACCACAGATTGAAACTGTCCGCATAACATGAAACCAAAAGAAGTTTCTTTCGTTCTCACAGTCTTAAAACTAAACAATTCTCGGCTTTTTACTGCGATTTTGGTAGTAATCACTTTTTACTCTTCGTGTAGGGGAAGAGAGAGAAATGTAGACCGATAGAGAGAGAAAAAAAAAATTGAACCCTGGCCCTACATTTGCTTGGAGGACGTACGAACACAATGGTTTTGTTTTTAGGGCAGCACAGCATACGGTTGATTTAGTCAACTCAATAGGCGGAAACGCTGTATACACAAAATTGTTTAGGAGTTTGGGAGTGCTATTTCTAGGCCGAGAAAGTTGGTCCATTTAAGCTTAGGGTGAGTTATACAAAAACATACAAAGATGATCCATTGAATCTGTGAGATACCCTGCTGACATACATGACCACACATGATGATTTTAGCTCGGGGGGCTACGCAACACTGGGCATACGAGTACCTCCATGCACTGGGGGTAGGGATGCGCCTTGTGATATATACGAGAATCTATTAGGTCTATGGTGAAAATCTTTCAGTGCCTGGCCGCAAACGTCGTGTGGTCGTACAAAATTCAGCCGTCTTGGTACCGAAAAGGGTGGGTCTCATATCTCTTCACCTAATTGCATTGATAAAGAAGTTCATTCCGTACGTTTTGTGTGTTTTGTTGTCTTTCAAACCACACTATTGCATCATGAATCATATTCTAATCATAAAGTAATAGGTCATTGCTCAAAAACGCTCCGTTACCATCCGGTAGAAAGGCAGCTTCTTTGCTGTGGCCGTCATTCAACTTCCACACTAGCGCGTGTAACATGTCACACATACAAGCGTGCTTAACCGAGTTACCGTTGTTTGTGTAAAAATGACTGGGAACTGTACCGTTGTTGATTTCCTTGTGTCCGTGACCCAGATTGGTGATAAACCAAGTGTTACTGATGTTAGTCACCTCACCGACTAACACAATTCTGTCAAAAACTGATTGTCAGCTTCGCCAAGAAAGTTGTATTTTGAGGGTTGTGAGGTAATTAGGCGAATTTCGAACTTCTGATCCGGCTGCCTTCCATGCCGCACAGTGTTACATGATTCACAGTAGTAATATCCATATACACAGAAGTAAAGTCGACATAGCATCTGTCACACTGCCATGCTGCCGAAAATTTTCTAAGGTCAGAAGAGGCTACTAGAAGAATAGTAGCGCCTTTTGCGCTCGCCATTCAAACTGCAGAGGACAGAGTACAAGAGTGGCGGCGATCTCACGCAGAGACCCACGGGGATGTTTGTACACGGAAGTAAATTACAGCTAAAATACAGGAACGTAAGAAAGGGTGATATCGTGCTGAGGCACCATAGACCAGTCGGTAAGATTACGTAACAGGTGCGTTCTTTCATGTCTTTCCTAGCCTATCAACAATACCTGGAGATATTTGCCTTAGTTTGTAGAGTTCTAGGGCGCTTGTCATCCTAGGCAAAAAATTAGTCTAGATATTTTAGTAAACATGCGGTCATATTTGTTGTAGGTCGCCTTTCGGTACGATTGTGATGCCGTTTTCAACGAGGTTGAGACAAAACCTACCACCATTGAGAGTGTATACGTAAGACAACCTTTCGTTAACAAGCCAGCTGGCTTTTGTACAACCCGAAAACGACAATACCAAGAGTGCCCTAAGTTTGCGACATATATGACCAGGCCCTGTTAAGCAAGACTTTTGTTGTCAAACTTCTCGCGTAACTTTGATTTTAAAAGATTAAGTCACGTACTAAATGACTAGTCAAACGCAACATGAATATGACATATGTTTGGTTGTGTTCTCATTTTTTTATTACAAAAAGCAAGACATCAAATGCCTTTGTTGCCTGTGCACACAAACAAACGTTGTTTCCAACGGCTTTGTTTCAATTAACGAGGGTGGCAGGTATTAAATTTGCCCTTGACCGAAAGAATACAACCACCTGTGTACAAATGTAATTATTTAACGTCACATATGATGGCTGAACGGCACTATTGTTGTGCCCAGGGTGCATTAGGACTGGCACAGTTTGATTTGTTTTCTGTAATGTGTGGCTCCTTTGGACACTACAACACAACACGGGTCAACAGTCCATATATCACCACCCCCATTAGCAAACACTGACCTTGTAAAGGTCCACTATTTATTTTCGCCAGGATACATGTAGTTTAGGTGGCGTAAACGTGACACTACTGGTTGAACGACATAACCAACATTGCTAATGGGTTGCTTATACATGTAGTATGACGTTTGGCATGCTGGTTATGTCTTGACCAATCGACGAAAAGTGTACACTTTGGGCCATAAATGAACAGATTTGAACGTGTAAGTGGTTCATTTAGCCCATATTATATGTACTAATTTCTTACCTTTTGCATTTTAGAAGAGGAAATGGAAAACGCCATGTGGAGACAAGCAGTTGTGCTGGGTGTGGTGTGCATTCTCTATAGAAGCGGTGAGTTCATAATTACACTTACCCCCTTTTATGGACGCTGTTTTTTGGTGCTACTATTTAAACTGTCTATTTCTGTTACGCAATGGTTTGACCTTTGGATTCACAATGGATGTCTCTTGTTATATTATAATTAGATGCACAGGCCAACCAGCCTCCAATCTTCAGAGCAGGAATGGACTACCTTCAAATTCCTGAAGACACAGCAATTGGTAGGTGCAATGTGTACAATGTATGTGTGAATATGCCTCTTTGGATGATGATTTTGCGACCATAGTTTGACTCCACAATGAAAGTATGGTTTAATGACATGATTAATTGTAAAATGAAATATGTCTGTTATGCTCGAATGACTACCTTCCATGACAGGAGCTACAGTGTACACCTTGAGTGCAACTGATGCTGATGGTGATATCCTGACATACGGAGTCTCAGGACAAGTCTCAAACAACCTGTTTATGGTTGATCCAAGCTCTGGAGTCGTTACTTTGAAAACAGCATTGGACAGAGAGGTAAGGTTAGCATGGGCTTTTTAAAAGAAAACAATCTAGCTCTGATGTTCCTACATTCACACATTTACCTCGTTTACCATGTTTTAATGTCGCAGTCAGATCATTGTTTTGTACACATTAACCCATTTTGATTACATTTGTCAATGATAAGGCCATGAACATCGAATTTGAGCGATGTCCTTTTGCTTTTTTTATCACCACAATTCTCTTGTCTTTTATGTAGATTTGTTTTTCTCAGCTTAAAAAGTGTGAGTTATATTGCAGTGACATTTAATTACTGACAATCGGCCGTACTACGTTAATTACAGCACACAGATGAATACCAGATTACTGTAACAGTGGAAGATGGGACAAATCCAGTGGTAAGCCGTATTTAGATATGTTTATGTAAGCTTGTACTGATTTTAGGTCGTACTATACATAAGTCTGATTTTAGGTCGTACTATACATAAGTGTTGGTTACTTTGTAAACAAAATTAATTACCTTCATCGACGAGAAACTATAAAGAAACTACAAACACAATATAATAATAACGAACAATGAAAGTATGGGATCATACCATGGTGACATGGAAGATTACTAGTATACAATATTGAAAAATATCGTGCAATTTTTGAACTGAAACAGAACGTGATTTGACTTCACTTTATTATTGAGAAACTGATTAGAAATGTTTTATTTTCCAAGGTACAAGAAGACCCAACAATCTTCATAACTGATGCCAATGACAACAGTCCAGTGTTCCAGGGTATTCCTTATGAAGTGGATGTCGATGAGGTGAGTTGAGTTGAACTGTTAGTCTTTGCCCCAACCTCTCTGATGCTATTATAATATAAAAGGGTATAGTATCATTCCGCACTAATTTCATGTAATTTTGTCATTTATAACTGTGATTTTTAGACATCTCTTTTTGCACCCCAGCGGCAGCCTATTTCAGAAGTGAGTTTGATATCTTCTGATGTAGGATTGAAATGTAACTTGGTTCTTGTCCTCGTGTTTTTCAGAATGACATGACCCAAACCAGCATATTCAGAGTGACGGCAACTGATGCAGACCAAGGGATAGGTGGAACTGTGTCCTACTTTCTAGAGGTAAGTGTCTACACAAAAAATCCTGTTAAATTTGGACTTGATTATGCAATGAAACTGTCGTGTTTATGATTCCATTCAATTGTATCTTTCACACCAGGCTGGAGATGAAACAAAGTTTGAGGTTGACAGACCGACAGGAATTGTCAACTTAAAGGAAGAGCTGGACTACGAGTCATCATCTGTTTATCAGCTCCGAATCAGAGCTCAGGTAAGAGTTTTTTTGCCATACAATATTTTGTATAATTGATAATAGTTGAGGGTCCTTTTGACAAATAATATTTGTTACAACATGTACATCCACTTTGCAGTTTGGTACAAATATGAATGCCAAAGCTAATCAGACCCTAATAATCATCGGGCTTTTGTTTAGGATGGAGGAGGCAGCTTAAATGGAAGCCAAGTTTTCCAGAGCAGCACCACTGTCCTGATAGTGAATGTTGTTGATGGGGATGATCAGCCTCCTCTGTTCCTGTATTTCTCAATCCAAGTCGATAAAAACACTCCACTGGTGAGTATTCATTGACATACAGTGTATAAGCTCATTAACTGATGCAGTAATTCAGACAAGCTAGAGTCAAGATATTGGAACATATCTACAAGTTTATGTGTTTAAGGCTGTTTGAAATGTAGGATATTCCAAAAGAATTAATCTTCCAGTTGCATGGAAAATTTAGTTGATGATGTTAAGAAGGGGGTTGAAGACCTGACTCAGTGATAGGTTTATTGTGGATGCTTGTGCATAGTCACATTTTGGGTACCCTATAGTGGGTTAGACGTGTGTTAGATTATTCTTCGTGTCCTTAGACTTAGGTCAAGTTTAAGGTATAATTATGTCCCGTGTTTTCCTCTAGGGTACATCTATCATAACTATCAATGCCAGAGATGGAGACTATGGCATCAATAATCCAATTGTTTATTCCGCTGAAGGAGGTAATCAGCAGCTCTTTTTATAAATGCCCCACCATACTGGCATATTCATTTAGATCTGTTACGATCCCTTCATTGAAGACATGGGTAATCTGTTCATTAAAGTTTCTATAAGGTCATGACAATCCAATGGAAAACTAGTGGCATTTCCAATACTCATCGTTGTAATTTACCTGACTCTCGCTTCGGTTTTCTGACAAATGTATTTGTTATCTTCTACTTCAGATGATGGCACCTTCTCCATTGATTCCACCACTGGAGTGATCAGTCTTGCTAAGACTCTGGACATAGGCGTCTACAGTTTTGATGTGCAGGTAGGGAATATTCTACATGTCTTAAAGTTTTAAATCTTTTAGAAAGGTGCCTACTTTCGAACCTATATCCACGCATATCCTAAGACATGGAGCCTCTAGCATATAGTGCTTGGGTTGAATCATCTCATTTTTCTACCTCCATGGTTGAATTGAGTAAAACAGCCATAACATACCCTTACCATAGGTCTGGCGCGGCACACTGTATTGCATCACTTACGTCGACCTGGCTAACATCAATTATCATTGTACACAATAACTTTATATTAATTCACTATAGATAACATGGAATGCCTTTCATAAATTCCTCCTCTCCAGGCCAGAGAAAACAGCAGTGTTACCAGATCCACCAACACCAGTGTGCGTATCACTGTGGTAGATGTGAATGGCACATCAGCAGGTATGCCCTTGGGAGGTTTGCAGGACTAATGAGTCGTTGATCACAGTTGATAACATTTGTATTGTATCATCCTCCTATTTATTTTCAATGTCGTGTTAAGTGTGTTGAACACATTGGTGTACTTTCATTATAATGAATTGTTAGGAGGTGAAGGTAATATGCCATCTAGGTAAAATGAGTTAACGTCATTTTTTTCATTTGGGGTACCCTAAGACCACTATATTATGATTACTAAGTTCAAAACAGATTTTTCAATGCAGGCCAGCGTCTATTTTCCCCGACGTATGCTACACTTCTTTGGTAGGTCTCAACAACTCCAACTAATTTTGTGCAGTGGCCATAGCATAGGGTATCCGGCAAAACTATTAGTTGACCTTCCACAATTTCCATAATAAGAGTGGTGAGGAGTCACACAATAAAATAGACAATAAACCGCTTTAGCCGCATGTTCTGACTCCATACTTTTACAAAATATTTGTTGATCCTGTCCATACCTGCTTTCAGACCGCGTTGGCATTTCCACTGCTGTGGGAGCTGCAGTTGGAACAACTATACTGGGAATACTTGTGGGTATCCTGGCCACAATCCTTGCACAAAGATACTGTGCAAACCTTAAGCTTTCTAAATGTTCAAAAGGTGGGTATGGGTTTCAAAGACACCCTGGTCTGCCTATATGAAAATAAATGAATACAAATGAATGTATATGCCTAAACTGTGTAAAATAACGTCAAGCACAAAAATTGAAAGTAAAATATCATTCACCATATCAGCCTAAACATGATAAGTCTTTGAAGTGAATTTCTTGTATTTCTAGTTGCTGATGACGATGACAAATACGAGGACGTGTTGGCTGTACGAACAAGTTCTAGGCAAAGCACTGTGGGTGGAAATGAAGTATATGATGTCCCAATGGAGATCACTGCCACTGCACACACCTCTGCAGATCCAGACGACAACTATCAAGATTTAATGCCAACTACTAGTAGCACATATGAGAGTCTGAGAAAACACTAACCGAAGAGTATCAGGAAAGGGTAATTAAGTACTTTACTTTGCAATGAGTGGGAACAATTTTCAATTTAAGGAATATTTGAAAATGAAATAACAGGGCAGAAGTCCTGTTGGTAACTAGAACATACTTACGCTCCCCTGACAACCAACTCAGCTGCTTACAATGTGATTTAAAAGTCATATGAAGAAAAAAAAACTTATAAATAAGTCACTCACTTAACTTGCGATACAATGTTTGACGAAAACCAAAACCAAATCAAACTGGCTTTGGAAAGAGTGAATCTGTGTGGGCAAAATACTTTGTGGTGAATTTACGAGTACTGTGTGTGTCTCAGTGTGTTTAGTTTTGCTACATTAGTTTTGATAACTCTTTGATATAATTATGCAAAAACAGACCTTACCATAATGCCATAGTGGTGGATGGTGAGAATTCAATCCTTACTGCATTTCGTTAAACATGAATTATGCAAATCTAGACCACATACAATGTATGCATAATCGGTTAATGCTAGAATGGTCTTTGTTAAGATAAGAATGTCATTGGACAACCTTTATGTGGATAGAGAAAATGATCAATTGATGTATTAATTTATAAGGATCTTCTTTGCATGATCAATGGGAAAAATATAATACGTCAGTCGTAAAGGTCAACACCTGAAGTGCAAAAGGTGCATGTGTCAAATACTAGTACATGTTCAAAGTTCAAGGTACAAGCTTACCTGATCAAAGATATGTAACCGACAAACGCACTAATAGATACGGATAGATTTTGGCTACAGCTCCCTGCAAAAGGTAAAGTGTTATCTGTATTTCAAATGACACTTTCACAGAACCACAGAATTGTCAGGAACTTACCAGGTACTTTATCTGTACATTGTCTGTACTGTATCTGCGTTTTGTTAAGCTATCGTTGTTTGCATTGACTAACAATCGACCTGTTCTGGATACAACAGAATGTGTACTTGTCGCTGTTTGTACGTTTTGTATGACTCTCCACCAGAATGATTTATCATAACGACGCCCCTTTAAATAGAAGTATGTTGGGGGTCCACAAAGGTTGATTATAATAAAAAGATGCTGGTTGTACATAAAGAGGATCTCGTAAGTTCTCGCACATGTGACCAAGTCTCGCGTGACCTCGTGTGTAGATAATTTGATAATTAGGAAGATCTCTGCCATTTGTTTGTGTCGAGCTCAGAGTAGGGCAGATGTCACCATTGTGTTAAGCAGTAGTGGTCCCTAGTTAATATTTTAGTCCAGTTTGAAGACTTTTGAGCTAGAAGGAACAGGTAGGGTCTAAACCTTCCTACTTTTGTCAAATGTTGTTTATTTCACCAGTTTAGTGGGCATAACGAGAGACCTGAGTAATGAGGTCTTGTCTGCCCAGAGCGGATGGATACATGAGAAAATTAGGTCAAAAGTAGGGTTTGTTTACTGTACAGCTATTGACAGAGTTTGAGCTGGTCAACCACCTGTTTTCTTGCTACTAGTATATCTGGGAGGCAGGCCCTTGTCGATTTCTCTGGTACAGAAGAATTTTTGAGATTGACGTGTGTAAAAGTTCTTTTATGAGGACTTGTTTCAGTCAGTGTATTTAACAATAGTTTTCTATGGCCAAATGTTTGCCCAGTATGAGATTACTACAGATTGCGGGTAAAGACTCTCGCACATGTGACCAACTCTCGCGTGACCTCGTGTGTAGATAATTAGGAAGATCCCGTGGCCAATTCCCATCTATATCATCATCAGCATGCTCACACAATTATTGACATCCTTTTCTTCTGATTACTAGTAGTACAACAGTTGCCTACTAATACTAGTAGTATTTTCAGTGACGGTGATTCTGGCGGTTTTGGCTCATGATGACGGAACAGTTGACCACCGGTACCGGCCTCATGTCGGGAATGACTACGGCGGCGGTTGTCGGGCTTGCTGCGGGCGTCTACTATCTGACGACCCGAACAGGCACCTCGGTCGAAAGTTCGGCACATTGGCCGAAGGTTCGTATCTTCTTTTTCTTTCCCTTTAATAACAAAAAAAAAGAAGTCTACCAAAGCAAAAGTTTAAAGATTTTTTTCTTTCATCCTCAAATCGCATGATTTCTGAAGTTGATTCACGATTTCTTAAAACCTAGGAGAAACAATCCCAGCCTTACACGAGGAGGGTCCAACCGAAGAAGAGAAAGATTCAGTTAGCGCTGAACTCGCTGGACGACTTCGTGCCTCTGGGAAACGTGGAACCAGTGGACGACGTGGTTAGGTTCTTCACAAGCCGCGGGAACGAGTTTTCAGTGTACAGCATCGACTGGGAACAAGAGTCGGTAGTGTTGGTGAGACCAGTGGACGGGACAGATCTTAAAGATCACCCATTCTTTTGCGAGGTGCGTAGAAGCAACCTGATTGAGTTGGCCTTTCTTTGAGTTCGTTAAAGTGTAGCCATGGGGATGACGTTTTGCGACGCGTACTTCAATTGCGCGCCGAGAACCCTCACAGATCACCTTGTAAAGAAAAGACAAAAACAGCGAGCAGATTATTATTGGAATGAGCAGAGCACTTTGGACTAATCTCTCTGGCTGTTCACAGCTTAGAGGTACATATCCAATATTTTGTCAAAAACATCTCTGTTACATAGCGGATCATAATGACCCCCAGCGGGGGTCTTCACACTTCGTTAAAAATGGAAAAATCTCAGGATTTATTCCAAAGATCTCAATATTTTAGACGAAATCTTGAGATCTTATGAGACAATCTTGAGATTTTTTCAATGACAATCTCGAGATGCTTTAAAAATCTCAAGATTACTTTATAAATCATGAGATCTTTAAAAAAATCTTGACTATTTTTTAAAGCATCTCGAGATGATATGGAAAAATCTCAAGATGGTTTAAAAATATCTTGAAAGATCTTGAGACCTTTCGTTTTCATCTTAAGATTTTCTTAAAGATCTTGAGATTGTCTCATAAGATCTCAAGATTTCGTCTAAAATATTGAGATCTTTGGAATAAATCCTGAGATTTTTCCATTTTTAACGAAGCGTGAAGACTCCCGCTGGGGGTTATTATGATCCGCTATGTAACAGAGATGTTTTTGACAAAATATTGGATATGTACCTCTAAGCTGTGAACAGCCAGAGAGATTAGTCCAAAGTGCTCTGCTCATTCCAATAATAATCTGCTCGCTGTTCAAAACAAAACTAGAAAGGTAACATTTACAAAGCAAATGCATAATGTTTACCTTCGCATATGGTCTGCTCTGTTAATTCTTACTCAAACACATTCAGATATAAGGTGACAAGAGTCTAAATCCTCCTGCTATAAAATTGCAACATGATGTAACCCAACACTAGTTACCATGGCGACAGACGCCTGGTTCAGGTCATTGACCTTATTTGTTTGGAGAAGAGGAAGAAGAAACAGAGCAAACCAATGTTTTCCTTCGGAAAACAAAACAAAACAAAACAAAACAAAACAAAACAAAACAAAACAAAACAAAACAAAACAAAACAAAACAAAACAAAACAAAACAAAACATTATTCTTTCCTCACAGGCTCAAAGAAGGAATGCAGCTGAGATCCTTTCTATTCCGTTTTCACGTCTCCAAGATGTTGCAGATGTCATTCATCCCAAGGTTGCGCATGTGCAGAACGTCTTTGTCTATATGACGGGTGAGATTGCAGTCCATTTTTGTCAAAGATGAATAAAGACAAACGATGTTGTAATCGCAGTTATCGCAATCATTACTTTTTTATTTGAGTTGAATGAACTTGTCCTTGTACTTGATTATGCATGTACTAGGTCTTTTCAGCATTGTGAGTGGCCTGCGTCAAAGTCATTCCTCTGTCTGCACAGCGTCCTGTGCCATATACTTGGCGGTCGATAGTGGGCGATTGTCTTTACGTTGAGTTGAATAAATAATGATAACAAATGAGATGGACATCTAAGAAAACCGGCCTGATTATTCAAATAGAGCAGAAAACATGAGTTTTTCCCCACAGGAAGATGCGGCTCCACCCTTCTTGCTCGAGCAATTGACGCCACTTCAGTTGCTCAAGCGGCCAACGAGCCCGAGCCATTTTCCACCATCAGCATGGCAGCGAACCGGTCCAGACGTTCCAGACAGAAGAAAGATTTCTTTCTCAAGTCGACCGCGGTGTTAGATGAAGACAAAACGGTGCAGCTCTTAAGAAACGCCGTTACCCTGCTGAATTATCACCTAGTGATGACAGATCCTCTTCGCCGGGATGTCATCATGTACAAGCTCAAAGTTGACGTCCTCCTGATCGGCGATCTGATGTACCGGGCCTTCCCGTATGCGAAAAACATTTTCCTCTACAGAAACGGGATGGAGTGCCTAGAGTCATGGGCGAAATTGTGGCTTCGAAGCAAAGCTGTATATTCCCTCGTTCGGGCATCAGTACGGCTCGGCTTGTGGAGGTGGGCACCAATGGTACCCGAACACTTCCGATGTTTCGGAGACGACGCAAAATTCACCGATCAGGCCGATGGAAGTAGCACATTTTACACAGTGGCCCTGTGGGTTGGCGCGATGCAGCGTGCTCTGGAGTTACAGAAGCTCCACCCAGAGTACTTCTTCCATTGCCTGGTTTACTACGGCGCCTTGGCGAGAGGAAGAGAGATGTCACTGTGTCTGCTGCTGAAGAGGCTTGGGCTGAAGTGGAATCCTGAGGAACATGAAGAAGAAGCGGAGAAGATGAGGGAGTTGTTCCTTAAGGACAGCCAGGCAGGGACATTTCTGTCTGCCAGGTAAGTCTGTGTGTCTGTGTCATCATTTGTAGAGATGTAAAATTTTCTTTTCTTGTTTTTTTTTAGTTTTTTCATTACAAAATGGAGGGGAAGGCAAGATATAACCCCTATTGTAAAGTTTAGATTTTACACTAAGCAATCAGCAATGCCATGTAGATTTATTTTGAAAACACAGTGAATTGTCTTAAGTACAGTTTTGATAGGTTTTGAAAAGCCCCATGGTCTATAATGTCTGATATCTTGCCACTCCTGGCAAGGAACAAATTCAACACCAAACCTTGTAGTAGGGACCTGCCGCTAAATCCTAGTACTATAGTGGTACAGCGTATTTGGCTTAACTCCTGTTTTTTTACTATCTTATATAATTATGTTAGATAAATAGATGAACAGCATAGGTCCACATTCCTCTCCTAACATGAAATATCTAAAAACGATTTGTTTCCATGTCCATTTTCACGTCCGCTTTGTAGTGTTTTCTACATTATCCTATCAATAGAAATATGGCCATTTTGTCTTTGAACCTGGTTATTCAGCCATGTCCATGACGTTATGGGTTCAACAGTACTACACCTCCCTGTTCACTGTACAGAACCAGGAAACCTGGTGAGAAGTGGACGAAACCGTCTTCAGCCAGCTGGCTAGGAGACTGGGACAGAGACTACATGTCTAGAGTCTGTGGGGCCACTGGGAACATCCCGGGTCCTGACTTCATCTTTCCTGACACCATGTTGTGAAGAAATCCACATTTCAAACACTTAGTACTTATGCTTAAGTTTATTCAACACAAAGGGTACATGAGGATCAAACATGTTGCACATGGCTGCCATCTGCACAAGGTGATATCCACCAAAGAACTCTCAGAAACAATGACAGTCTAGTATAGTGCAGGAGTCAGCGGGACACAAGAATAGTACCATAACTCTAGATCTAAAGTGTATGCTTACTGAATGAGGTGTAACTACCTGCGAGTTCAAATGAATGTTTTATGAATACAATGTTTTTTATTGTCTATAACACCAACCTTTAACAAATTATTGCTGGATTTTTTGGTGGTAGCTCTTATGCTCGGAAAGAAGTTAAGTAAGTTTGGGCCTTCTAGGTCTTCTAGCAATTTGTTTTGTCAAAATCATTGAAAGAAGATGGGGTTGATGGATCATTATGATTTTTGGTATGTAGGTATTGCTTGACCTAATTTGGCAAAATCTATTTTCAACAATCTTTATTCAATAATCGATTAATAGAGTCCTCAGAAAATATAAACAACGGCAAGTTAAACAACATCTTTACAAACCAACAGCATATTCATACTAAATAATCACAAATTCACAATCATTTACAATATTTGTCATATTCAACTTTGATGACAGAAAGGATAAGAATATGAATGAAATATCTAGCCTTGGTGTTAGCGTTAGTTAGACAAACCAGTTGCCCTATAAAGCACTGCCTGGGGAATCAGCCCTGTTGCTTAGCACCAGCCTGGGGACCACACCCCTCCCCAGTTCTTGGGGTCAGATTTGGGGTCAGCCTTTGGGTTGATGGCAGGCACCAGGGTCTTCCTGTAACCATCCAGCTTAGCCCGCATCTCCTTCAGCTTGTCAGGCATGGTGTCCGCCAAGTTGTGGTGTTCTGTGGGGTCATCTGAGTGACGGAACAGTCAGAGATTAGTTCTACTTACACCTGAGGTGGCAAGGTGATCTAGAAACAAAAGATTCTAGGTTTGAATCCCGACAACGCTCTACCCTAAATTTGAGAGCCGGCTACGTATTACGCTACAGTAGTGATGACGCTTTATGATAAATTCCAAGTGGCTACAACGCAATACTTAGAATTAAAACACGAATTTCGCTCTACGCAAAATTGGCAATTATGCTCTACATTGAATTAGAGCAGTTTATCTATGCTCTACGTTGAATTAAAATGGCCGATTACGCTCTATGGAAAAGAGCATGCTGGTTATGGAAAACAAACAAACAGGGATTGTGGTACCTTTCAGATTGAACAGCCATGTGCCGCTGATGGGATCCTTGTTGTCGGGCCGGCTGCCAGTCATGTTTGGGGGTGGGTACCATCCATCTGGTAGCCCAGCAAACCCTTCAATCAACTTGTAATCTCCAACCCTATCAATAGCAATGTCATGCCTTAAAACCACAGTTAGACCATTAGGCCCTATCAATTTTAATTGTAGGTTCTTCAACATTTTCATAAAAAAATTTTGCAAGAGGAGTCATAACAGCAACAGAAGGCTGGGATGAAAACAACCCAAAGAAAGTTTTAAAAGTTTAAATCTAAAATGGACTTTAAAGCTTTGGTCAGCCGTTACCTGATGGCACCTTGGATTGTAGGGAAGATGTTGTCAATGTTGTAGACAAACTCAGTACGGGGGGAGGGCTTGCCAGACACGATGGTGTCCAGTTGACTCACACCATCTATGCCCGGATCTGAGGAAATAACAAAATCTAATTATTGTTTTATTGCAAATTCATGCATGGGCTTAGTTCTTAGTTACATCCTGGTACAGAAGTGTTTGGATGCCTGAGTTGTGGGTTTGTCTCTCTATCTGTTTTAACTGCTTTTTTTGCAAGGTGGGTGGGAAGTGATTTTGGCAGATGATTGACAGGAAGTTTAAGTCTGTAAGTGACCTAGCATGTGTGAGGGGGAGTAAGAAGGTCACAAAAACTCAAAATTATATTGTTATAGTTCCTGCAAGTCTGAAATATTGGATTTGTTGCATTTATGTTAATTATGTTTACCGAAGGAAAACATATTGTTTTTAGTCAATTTCCTCTTCTCCAAACACTATCCTCTGACCTGGCCAATCACATGATTTGTTTACGTCTGTCACCATAGTAATTGGTGTTGGGTTACATAATGTTGCAAACTTCATGGTCTTCTCTGCTCCTGTCACCATATACTAGTAGTACATGTATGTGAATGTGTTTGAGTAAGAATTAACAGAGCAGACCGATCCGAAGGTAAACATTATGCATTTGCTACGCAAATGTTACTTTTCTAGTTACCTGCAGTTCCACCTGCGGCTGCCAGGATTGTTGGGAACCAGTCGACAGCATGGATCATCCTGGGGAAGATTGAAGGAAATAACGTCTGGGTTTATGTCCTTATATTACATATTTTAATACATTTCAATACATTTTAATACATTTCAGTCAAAATCACTTTCTACAGTCATCTTGTTATATAGCTCTATGCACTCATACATTATAATCCATGTGGGTCATTAAAACTAAAAAGGTCCTTGATGTCAAACTCACTCATTGTTGGTGTAGCCAGTTTTCTGTAGCATCTTGCCGTGTGCAAAGGCCACACCTCTGGTACCCCCCTCCCATAGGGTGGTCTTCCCACCACGCAGGGGGTAGTTGTTGCCGCTTTGGATAATCATGCCACCATTCTGAAGGACACAAGGAAGGGATGTCATTCCCTCAACTACTCATTCATTCTCTCACTTACTAGCTCACAGACACACACTCCATCATATCCAACCCTCACATTCACTCTCACCCAAAATTACACTCACATATCCAACTCACTCACTCACTCACTCACTCACTCACTCACTCACTCACTCACTCACTCACTCACTCACTCACTCACTCACTCACTCACTCACTCACCCACCCACCCACCCACTCACTCACTCACTCACTCACTCACTCACTCACTCACTCACTCACTCACTCACTCACTCACTCACTCACTCACTCACTCACTCACTCACTCAGACACCCACCCACCCACTTCCTCATCTTAAATTAAATTACCCAAGAAGATTCCTCACATCAGTGGTGAAGATGACAAGAGTGTTGTCCCACAGCCCCATTTTCTTCATCGCCATGGTAACGTTACCGACAGCCTCATCCAAGGCACTCACCATCCCTGGGAAGACAAAAACAGTGTGTGGGTGGTTACCGAGTCTGTGTGAGTGGGATATTAACAGTTTATATAGGTAAACTTTACAATATCAGTTTGAAAGTTTTTGAACACACCATTACAATTCATACAATTCAGACGTTTTCATGTACAGAAGTCAGGTTGAATACTCAAAGCTTGAAAATCACATGGAAATCATGATAATGTTATCCCATACCCAGTAGCTTTCTTCTGTTTTCATCCTGCACATTTATGTACATGTCCTCAAACCTTTTAGGAACCTGGGGACAACAAAAATAGAAACAAAAAAACCAACTCTGGTACTAGAAGAAAATCAGACAAAATATGATAATCTAAAGGGAAAGCAGCCTACAGGCTGATTTGAGTTGAATAGATATCACAAACAGACAAAGGTTTAATTGGCAATGTTCCTCCCTGTGTACCTCTAGTGGTGCGTGGACATTCTGGAAGGGCAGGTACAGGAACAGTGGAATGTTTTGGTCATGTTTGTTTACGATGTCCACAGCGCGCCCAGAAAACAGATACTGCAAAACAAAACAAAAAAACAATTAAAAGGTGAGCTAAACTGATTGTTACCTCCTGTGAGATTTAGAATTGAACTTAAGTTTCTTGGCAGCTTTTAATTTGATCCTTACCTTAAGTAGAATCTGTTTTTTTATGTAACTTTGTATGGTGCAGATAATTTTCATGTTAGCTTCAATTGTAAAGGACTATGCTGAAAAAATACTTTGAGCTCTGTTATAATAGAGAAGCTTCTTGGTTTGACAGAAAACAAGTAAGCTGAGCAAGATCTAGTACTCACAGCACTGTACGTCCCATTCTGGTCTGTCACAGGATCTTTGTTGTCATGAAAATCAATTCCGCCCTCTATTTGTTGCAAAAACAATGTATGTTGTATTAGATGCATTTTTCAACAACTTGCATAATGGCTAAAACTTTGTGACAGAAGATGTATAGGGGTTAGTTGTTAATCCTAGAGAGAGATGTCTATGAAAGCTACATTAAGTATCTGATTAGCACTCGATGCACATAAACAGTTGATGATGATTGATTAAATGATTAATTAGATTCTTACCTTTGTTGTTGGATCGGAAGTGAGTGTAGTAGTCTTCTGCTCCACAGTAGTAGCCATAGTAAGAGTCGAACCCGCGGTAGGTCGGGGTGTACTTCCAGTTGCAAAAGCCAAGATGCCATCTGAACAAAAAAACAACAACAGTATTTTAATTCAGCTCTGATCCTAGACAAGTACAAGTGAAATGGAAGAACTAAAAAAGGACCAAGGAATGAACTAACACAGAGGAGGGCCTGCATGGGGGAGTAGTGATTACGAATTACGCAAAATTTTCACCGCCGATTACGGATTACGTTTTTAGTCTCAGAGCTGATTACAACTTTATGTTTTGTGGCTAATGTACTGATTACGAATTACATTGATTTTTTGGGAGGCTGCCTACGGATTATGCAGGCTAAAAAGGTCTGATTACGCGATACGGAAATGGGCATGCAGGCCCTCACAGAGGATAAGGACTGAATTGTGGGGATGTGAAGTCAGTGCATGATGTGTATAATAGAAAAGGTCAGACAACTTTTCCACCGCCTGATCTGACTAGACTGCCTTTTCTGCCAACCCAAGATTAATTTCTACAACCCAAACACCTTCAGTTGCAGACTTACTTGCCCACCATGTGAGTGGAGTACCCTAACTCCTTCAGCTTCTGGGGCAGGAAGGTGAAGTTGGACGGAATAGCCGAGGGTGTGTCTGGTCTGAATACTAAATGCTTAAAATATGCAAGAAACAAACTTTAAAATCATTTTGTCATGTTCAACTTCTTTCAAGACATGTATCTAAGATTGATAATGAATTAAAAGCAAACAATGTTAACATGGTAACACACTGTACCTGTGATCCCACATGATAAGGGAAGTACCCAGTCATGAATGCTGTCCTGGACCTGAAGGATCAGAAATGTCATAAATGCAATGTCAGCTCTTCATGTTTCAAATTCTCTAATTAATATAGTGGTAGATAGTATACATGACCAAATGTGAAGAGTCTCAGTCAATCATGCACACGTTTTCTTTTACTGTCTTAACAAATTCATATTATCTTATAAGTTTTTGATGATACTGACGGCGTGCAGACGTAGTTGACATAAGACTGGTTGAAGATGACTCCTTTGTGAGCCAGCTGGTCCAGAACAGGTGTCTTGACGTCAGGGTTGTGCCAGCCGACATCATTCCAACCTGGAAACACAGGAGAAAGGGGGGGAGGGGGTAAGGACGGGTGACACGTGACAGTGTTATCCAATCAGATCACTCAGGTTTTAGAAATTGACCATAAGGAGGGCTGTTTGAACCCTGTACAATCTGCTTATTTTCTAAGGAAATGGTATCGTTTAAAAGACCAGATTTTCACCAAGCTGGAACAGAGACCTAGTTTCGTCGCTGGAGGGAGATTGCAGTTTTCAGGTACATCTTGAATCCCCGATATTCACATTTAGTGTATTGTGGGTGACTTTCTGCTTGCTTAATGCGCACTTTGCCAATGTAGTGGTTTTGTGGTGTTTTCAGGAATCTAGTTTTGACAATTTTCCCTGTGAATGAGTGAGGAATTCAGATGAAGCAAGGTAGATCTTTCTTTCCTCCTCTCTCTCTGTCTTTCTTTTTCTTTCTTTCTTCTGTTATCTTCTTTCTGTCTGTCTTTCTTTCCTTCATTCTTTTGCTAGAATTATTAATATTGCACATTTCTTGCGTGTAAACAAATTGTGTACACATACTAAGTAGAATGGTAGGTACCGGTAAAACATTATTAACTCGGCAAACTCCCCTATTTGGCCAAATCTCACAGTGGCCACATCTACCATTTTTCAGCAACCCGTTTAGGGTCTCCTAGAGGCCGTGTTGCCCTTACCGAGATCGTCTGCCACAATGAACACGATGTGCGGTTTGGTGTTGTTGTGACTTCCGGGTTGTGGGTGACCAGAAGCCGCCAGCTGCAACAGCGACAACAACAACAGCACGTTTCCGAGCAGTTTGATCGGCTCCATCTCCTTGGGCCGTCTAATTTCTTGTACGTTTGTTGACTTGAGGACCACTGTTTTTTGTATTTCTCCTCAAACTCGAGGGGGGGTAATTTTGCACCAGAAATTTTGTCCCTCCGCCGAGTCCATATCATATGCGCAGAGGGGCTGAATGTCGACAGAACATTACAATACGAGCAAATGAACGCAAATTAATCTAGAATTTAACTCCTTTGTAAGTATTAACTTTATTAAAATCCATCCTCATCGATGTGTGATATTCGATAGCTTTGTGCTATGTCTGTGAAGAAAGAAAGACAGTGGCAACCCCCTCTATACGTAATAGATTCGCCCACGCCATTACCAGCTTGTCAAAGGTCAACGTTCTGTAGTTCATGAAAACAGTCAAATGTTTTGATGAAATTCCCCGGTCTATGGCCGGGACAATTCCAACTGGAAATTGGCGATGAAGACGAACGAGAACAACCCCGTCAGGCGGTCCACATTAGCCAGGTTTGCCACGAACATGTTTTACACGGGTTTGGACAGGTGATGGTATTTCAGCACTAAGGACAAAACCAAAACGTTCACGAGGAGAGCGAGTATCCCGACATCGCGGAGCGGAGGCTCGCCCGACTTTCCTGTTCTCGTCCAGAAACGGAGTGTGGAGATGTGAGCACGCATCTACTACCAGGTATCCAGGTATGCCTACCAGTACCTGCCTACGTGCACAGGCCAGGATCTGGCCCCTTGCTTCCTCTCGTCTGGTTTCTCCAGCCAGCTCTAGCCAAGGCCATTGTCTCAGCTTCCCTTAGGGTGAGCCCTGCGTCTGTTTGTATCTGGTCTTTCTACCTCTTGGGTGGTCTTTCCCGGGGTTTGGATTTTCTTAAACTCCTGGTGGTATGCCTTATTTAGATGTTTGCCGGTCTTCTCATGTAATGCTCAGGTCAAAATTACACGGGTGTCCGTACGAGGTGTAGCCCCCGGAAGGGCTCTGAAGTCGGGAGGGTACCGCCACCGGCTTTCGATTCGTGGTGAAAAAACAAGATTCCTACACTTTCATTTACAGACCTAACGATAGTGTTAGTAATACTGTCCTTACCCAGGTCGTCGGCCACGATAAAGACGATGTGTGGCTTGGTCGTGTTCTTTCCGGGTTGTGCAGAGCCCACGGCCAGGGCCCCCATAAGCAGAACCACACGCAGCATGTTGGCTTCTAGTGTCAGTTTGGTGGCGTTCAGCACGGACTCTTTATATAGAGATGCTATATCGACAATCTAGAGCGACGACCTAAAACAAATGTCAGCTACTAACAATCACACCTCAGCCACATGTGAGAGAGTAGGTGGTTGTGCGCTCGGGCATTTCTAGGGAGTGGGGGTCAATGACCGAGCGCACACCATCGCCGTGTGTGCCTAGGATCAGGTACGTTTCTGGATAGTCTTTGCATATCCAAGAACGCAGATTAATGCCCCAGACACTGTCCTGAATATGCGCGGCCTCACTACCCTATTAGGACTAGATAGGTAGTCATCGACACGATAGGGGTATTGCGTAAGCCTGGTGTGGTGGGGACCACCACCGATTCACTCATGTGACTGAGGTGTGATTGCTAGCATCCGCCTTCCCGGTGTTACTAGTACCAGGCTCCGGATTATCAACTGCTAACATTGGAGTGGGCGGGCATTTGTTTTAGATCGTCACTCCCCCGTTACAGAACCACTTGTTGACCATCCAAATGCACGGAGCAGCCGTGACATCTAGCGATTTTATCTTGAACTGCAGTCCAGATTATGACCTCATTCTCCCATGGTGCCTCGTCACCTGCGATGCCCTATGACGCACTGCTCCAAGATGGCGGCGAGGGTTGGGAGATGATCGAGTTGATGCTCTTGACATTGGGCCCTGTCGCAAGAAGTCGAGAAGAAAACCTCGCAGGTAACATCCCTTCCTCCAATACTGCAAGGGTCCGGCGTACCCACGGGACGGGTAGATCTTTACATGGTTTGCTCTCAGTGGAATTTGTGGTCAATGATTGGGGGGTTTGCCTGGGGGCTTTATGCTGCGATCTCAGCGATTTCAATGAATTATTTCCAAAATAGGATGTAAACAAATACCTATGTGCAAGATTTTGCGGCAATATGTCGTGTGTTGCATGGTGTTGCCTTATCCAACAGGGGTGCTATATGCGCATCGTTGTTGTTTTTTCCCGCTTGGTAGGCGTGCCTGTGAAAATATTCATCATCAACCATGAAAAATAAAACACATGTAACGTTACGGAAACTGGTGTTTACATAGAACTGCGTTCAGTGTCACAAGTGTAAACATAACATTTTTGGACGCTCGGCGTGCGAATCCAACATTGCAGCAGGTTCTTTTACCGTCTAATCATAAATCTTAGTTCAAGTGAACCTGCATACATGTGCTATTTTGTTGACACCAGTTGCATCTATATGCAAATGTTGGGCAGCCGTTTCTGTTGTTGTTGATTCTTCAAGCGTGTCTTCTGTAACAAGAAAACACAAAGCCTCTAAGGTCGCAATTAGGATGAATATAAAGCCCCTTCTGTACCTGTCTGTTGTATTCTATATACAGTTTTTGTTCATCCATGTCTAAGGTGGGGTATTATGCTCCAGGTGTTGCACAATTTCAGATTTGCGCACCTTGATGTCAAGGTAGTTTGTTGATTCTGTACCTGTATTTGTATACCTGGTAAAACTGCCCTTTGGTAGCTAGTTATATTACACTGACTGAACAAGTTATCCAGTGATGATCCCCCTACAGTATTTGGTGGCATCCTTGGTTGATAACTCAGGCACATTGTACTTTAACTTTCCAATGCGTGAATATTTCTTTTCCCTTCTGAGCCGGTATTAGATACTTGGTGGTCGGTACGTTAATCAGTTCATTTTGTATATCATGCATGGTCTGTGAGCCAGCAGGAATTAGAGGTCATTCAACATGGGCGAATTCAGGAAGCCGAGAATTGCATGAGCAACCCTCCAACCCTGCACAGTTTCTGTCCTAGTTCTGCTTACAGTATGTCATACAATCTCCTTGGTTGTTTCAATAAACTCATGATCATGAAAATACTCACCGGAAGTCTGAAATCTCTAGATCTGACTTCTCCTTACTGTAATTTTAAAGAAATAAGCACACTCAGTCAACAATGCCTGGGAACTACAGACCAGAGCTGTGCTGTATCCTTTTCACTTCGTCCTTTATTTATGGAACTTAGATGTGAAGAACATACACAGTAATTGACAACACCACCCTGATACCCCGGCTGAGTGGTTGTATGGATTAGAATTCCTCTGATGTTGACGAGAGGACAGTTTTGTGGTTCTTGGGTCAGCCCTCGAGATCTTCAACTGAACAGGTGTACCCAAGGACAGGTGTGTTGACACATGCTATCATCCAAAACAGCTAGTCTTGTTTCAAAGTTAGTTGTTTAGTACTGTCAGTATTTGCCCTGTATTTGATTTTGTTAGGCTCTTTAGAATCTAGACACATCATTTTCCAGGCGTTTTTGCCCATTTCATTGGGGCTGCAGGTAAGTTATGAAATGACAGGGGGCATTGTAAAGATGAGTCCATTTATATTGACCAGCATATGAATGAAAAGATATGAATTGCTTGTAACGTTTAAGTTTTTAATGTGTTCATTAGGAACATTAATTGGTTTACACATGAGGTCACAGCAAGTAATTTCTCTGTTTACATCCTCTGTAGACTCTAACTGCAAGATCTAACTTCATTTGACTTTGGATGGTTGTGTGGGACATGTAGCATGGCCAGTAACAGTCCCTGTATTTGGTCCAGGAACCCTGCTGGTCCTCCAGACTAGAATAGAAGCGAGGATTAGCGGTGTTGACATGATGACAGTCTTGTTAGCAAGCAGGCTCTTTATTTGTTGTATACACAGTCATATACTGTATGCCTGCAATGTATCCAGCTTGAAACTTTGGTACTGCCATTTATATTTCATTGTTGTGTTGTACCTTCTTTCTTTTAAAAGTCTCTGAAGGTTAAGGTCATTGCCTCCAAGTGTGACAGATCTGTTCTGACGACAAAAAGCGTCCAAACAAGGGGAGCAGTTCCTTTCTGGTTTGGTGAAAGGGCTGTGTGAAAGGTTGAGGATGTCACCATGTTCCCACATGTGTCTCCTGTTTGTGAAACCTTGGCCGTGCCCTGTCTCTCAACCTCAAGTTCACAAATATTTGATGATTTCTTGCTTTACAAGTGCGTGTTTGTAGAGTTGGTCTAGTTTTCCTCTCCAAGAAGACCAGTGCGTGTATGGTTCACAGGCAGACAAAGGTAGGAACCACGCTTCATGCGGACCCCTTTTAAACAGCTGTCTTGTTGTCATTGGTAAAAATGTGTGCTATGTTTTACAGCATAGGCGGTACAACAATACTGTAGATCTTCAAATTTTTGCCAATGTTTTATTTTTATTTTCTCCAATTCTTAATTCTCTCCACCACAAAATCATGACACTGAATAACTATGTTTTGTGCTACAGCATTCTCAAAGCGAACTGAGAATACTGGAAAAAAAACCTACCCTTTCTTTACTGTGTAATCAAGTCCCCACAAAAATAAAAGAAATGAATTTACAGTACAAGACATGTACTGTCAACAGTTGCTTAATTGAATGAGTGGTTTATTTCAAAGTTTCGAACTTCACATATGTACACGTACTACAAGATGTACCATATAACCATGTACGGTATGGGACTCTTTCTGTAAAAGTTGTGTGAAAACTCAGGAGTCAGGACAGGAGGTTACTGGACTGTGTTGTGCGTGCGTTTGGTAAAGGGAGAGCCAATCATGGAAGCCTGCAGATTGTAGGAGTTCCTTGGCAAACGACAGTTACGTCCCACATGTAATGTTGACATTGTTCTTCTAATGGCAAGTGACAAGATCTTAGTATGAACATGTGTATGTGACGGACATCAACGGAGTTTGTGTGCATTTGTCCCAGTAAAGTTTGGCACCGATACTGTTGTGGTCACACAGGTCCTTCTTTGTTTTAGTCAGTTTGTTCGTTCAGCTATCATAGATTATATATATATATATTACTCATGAAGTATTACACAGATGAATGTGTTTCTTCTTTGCTAATCATTTTTTCATCATGTCATAGATTCTAATGTCTTGACTAGACAGACATGTAATCTAGTGTAGCTATCAGTGACTCCCCAGTGCTGACAGGGCTCATGGCTGTGCTGTCTCCACCTGCCACAGAACCAGGAGACTGTGATCCTGGGCTGACAGCTTTTAATCTGTACTGTCTGGATCATGTCCGTCAGGTATAGATCACTTCAGGGGACTGTACATTAATGTTTGGTACAGGAGTCAAATCTGTGCGAGCTCTATCCAGGGGACCATGCATTAGTGTCTTGTACAGGAGGTAAAACTGAGTCATCTCTATTTAGGGGACCTTGCATTAATGTCTGATACAGGAGACAAATACAGCCACTAGTATCCCTATCCAGGGGACCATTCAATAGTGTCTGATACAGGAAAATCTGTGCTGCCACTACCAGGCATCTCTATCCATTTTTGACCTCCATGTATTGTATGGAATAGGTTTTGTTTTTGGTGTGTTTCCATAGTTATTTCTTTGAGGTCTAAGAAACAGCCTTTGTTATTTTAATGTGGCCCAGCCCATATATCTATCCTGGAGTCCATTAGGCCCATGTCCTTGTCCCAGCCACATGTTGTTTGTGTTGTTTCTGGAGTCTGTTTGCTGACAGTAGTGGTACTATACAACCTCCTGCTGGGCTGGAGTGTGTCTCCTGTCACAAACTGGGACAATCTCAGATTTATAGACAGATAATGGACCTGTACTGTGTAGGGACTGGGCCTCATACATGTAGGGTCCACATGGGGGATCCTGGCAACGCTTCATCATAAATTCAGGAGGGCTAACACTGTTATAGCAATGGTTAATTAAGACTTGTTATCTTGAATGGTTTTGTTATACTGGTTCCTACAGTTTTGGTACTGATTTCATCAGATTGTACCATGATTGACTTCAGTCTGTAAATATCAACACACCTGTTGTAACTTTTCAGCATTCTAGTGTTCAACTTCACCATACAAATGATTTGTCAATAATGGTCAACGATGAATTCAGAACAACAAATAGCATGGTATGTAAAATTGAGGGCTTCGCGAATCATTTAAAGCATTCTGGCTGTTTTTTGGGGGGATGTACATGCATGACTAACTTCGTGCTGCGGTAGACATTTTTTTGTAACCAACAACTAATCGAGGTCACAGAGAGTTTGTGCCCTGAAGGTAAAAAAAAGGATAGTGTCATCAGTTTCACTGGTTCTGTCTGAGACAATGAAGAAGAGATTGCAGTTGTCTGTCCTTT